GGGCATCGATAGTTAAACATACCTCAATCGTTTACCTGTACCTGTCTCATGTAATCAATAAATTAAAGCCTTACAAAGTAATTAGCAAAAATTTAAGATTGATTTCCAGTAAGTTTTTCATTCGGTAAAGAGAAATCCGTCACCTTCGTCCCAATCACCCTTGGCTTAATAGTTTCACCTTACCAATCTTTTCAGCTTATCAAGGAAATTCAATACAACTTTGTACGATTAGTTAAAAGTTGTGTGCTGATATGGTCTCGAACTTTTTGATCAACTCCGGCCGAGAAAAACCAGCGAACATGTCTATTAATTTGTTAAGTACTGTGGGGAACATTTTCTTTATCAACTATCTCGCTAAGCAATCTACTGATATGTATGGGTAAGGAAATAAATCATTTTGATGTAACCGTCTAAATGTTGGACGGTCTGAACTGTTACGCTAAACCGTAAAGGATGCTTACTTATATTAAAATCAAATACAGATTAATTTTTGTTAAAATAAAAAATAACGTGTTTGGTTGTTAAATAATGAAAATTTTTACAAGAATTATGACAATAAAAAACACGTAAACACAGTCTTAATACCTAACGTAGAAGTCGTTTGCTTGATAAGCCTTTCCGTAACTTGAATAAATCAATTTAAAACACCCTGTGTTAGAGGGGAAAATACAACATAAACTCAAGACTACAGCCATTTCAATCCCGACGACATTAATTCACTGAAACTGTCCTACAGTTTGAAATATTAACTTTTATAAATGTATCATCTGTATATAGAAAAATTTATTAATGACAATCTACCGATATTTAACAAAGTAGGTTATAAATCTACAATTCTACAGGATTTTGTTAGTTTATTTTCTTTCAGAATACTCACAGAGCTTTGTAAGAAGCGCAAGATAAGAATAAATTAAAAGAGCATTTTTTCAAAGGGTTCGGAATAAAGTAAGTCATTGTTTAAGAGATTAAAGTCTGCCCGGTATATTCATTTGGTGCTCTGGTGTGACGATGGTCGTGGGCGAGGGGATTTGTAATTTCCTGTTTAAGACCCCGGCTAAAGGGGCAGAACCCTTTTCCCTGTTTAGAACTCTTAAAAGCATCTCAAATATCTTCTAATATTCCAAATAACATGTCTATCGAATATATAAAAACATTCATTTATTATTTGGCGTGGCAAATATTATAACTAAATGTAATTTGATTTGATATCGAGGGTTGATTTGTCTTTTATGTTTACCACTAAATACAAAATCAAGAAATGTTTAAAATCTGTTTTTACAATTATAACTCTTAAATTTAACTGCTGATTAATTAAATGTAACATGTTCAAATGGTTTGTACAGTTGTAGTTAATTCCAATATTTTTTTCTGTTCCTAGAGAACGATACAAAACAGGTTTACTTTTCCTAGAGTGATGCTGTTTTGTTTGCTAAACTACAAAAAGAATGAAAATATCTGTTCTAAACTGGCAAACAGAGCTATAACACAATATTTATATTTACATATATTTTATTTGATTGGATGTCAAAATGTTATAATTATATTTCACTTTTCATAAGAATTTTATAGGTTTGTATTATCTTTAAAAAATCTTGTTAGATAAGAACGTGAATTATCAATATAAATTACTTTTAAATTTTCTCATGAAAATAACCCCAGAAGTACAGTATAACATTACCTATTTACCATTTGCACAAAATAACTGGCACTATCCTTTTAAAAAGTATTTGCACAAAATGTTGTATAGTACAGAAAAACAATCGATGTCAGAATTTATTTAAAAAAATAAACTACAAAAAGTGAAATAATAGTTAATAGGGAAATATATTTTTAGAAATATTATAGGAACAAATCAGGCGCTACGGTTATACTAACCGCACGACACTACAGTCGTGAAGGTAATGTGTTGGGGAGCGCCGTACTTTTTGATTTTTTTCTGTAATTAGTTACCATAGTTACCATCCGTTATATTGTTAACTAAACTATGGTATAGTTTTTGCATAACAGTAAAGGTGATTAGAAGATACTTTTCTTTTTAATAAACTCAAAAAATAAAGGTGAGTTATCAACTATTTAGTCATTTGGCTGTAGTTTATTTATTTATTTTTTTTAAACCGTAAATCAAGATAGGTTTTAGTCTGGTGGAATAAATCAGGCTCTGCTTATCAAGGGATAATTTGGACTTGTTGTCCATTTGACGTTTAGTTAGTCGGTAGCGCCAATGTATGAGAGTTCCAAGTCAATCTCTTGCTTCGATAAAGGTTATTGTCAAAACGTTATAATTAAATTTTACTTTCATTACATGTTTTTGTATTATATTTAAAAAAACTCTTGTTAGATAAGAACGTGAGTTATAAATATAATAATTTTTAAAAATATAAGTATTTTTAAATTATCTCATGAAATGGCCACAGACCGATTTCAAAATATAGCAGTATCTATTTACCATTTGAACAAAATATTGTATTGAGAAAAACAATCTAAGTCAGAATTTAGTAACCCCTCCCCCCCAAAAAAAAACCACATGAAATAATAATTAATTAGGAAATATGATTTTAAAAATATTATATATACAAATATTATATAAACAGTAAATCAACATAGGTTTTCGTCTGGTGGAATAAATCAGCCTCTGGTTATCAAGGGATAATTTGGACTTGTTGTCCATTAGACGTTTAGTTAGTCGGTAGCGCCAATGTATGAGAGTTCCAAGTCAGTCTCTTGCTTCAATAAACGTTATTATCAAAACGTTATAATGAAGTTCATTAAAGTTCGTGGTCGGATTGACCGAATAACGTTTTTCAATTAATTAATCTATATATAAGGATCACTAATTTCGTGGTCCGCTTGACCAATTAATATATTACAATTAATTAAGAGTTTTAGTTGAGATAAAAAAGTCAATGGCACGAGCGGGATTGGAACCCACGATCTTCGGCTTGATACGCCGCTGCCCTACCACTTGACCTATCGTGACCTCGATCCACTAGGACAACAACTTTCCATCTCAACCGCACCTTTTTTATTTAATTTTCCCTCCTTTTTGCCAAAAGGTGCGGTTGAGATGGGAAGTTGGTGTCCGAGTGGATCGGGGTCACTATAGCTCAAGTGGTAGAGCAGCTGCGTATCAAGCCGAAGATCGTGGGTTCGAATCCCGCTCGTGCCATTGACTTTTTTATCTCAACTAAAAACCTTAATTAATTGTAATATATATAAGGTATTGGTTGAGATAAAGTTATAATGAAGTTTCACGTTCATTATAATTTTATGTTTTCGTATTATATTTAAAAAAGACTTTTATTAAATAAGAACGTGAATTATAACTATAATAATTGTTAAAAATATAATTATTTTTAAATTATTTCATGAAAATGACCACAGACCGATTTCAAAATATAATAGTATCTATTTACCATTTGAACTAAATGTTGTATTGTTGAGAAAAACAATCGAAGTCAAAATTTAGTAACAAAAAAAACAAGCCATGAATTAATAATTAATAACGAAATATGATTTTAAAAATATTATAGGAACAAATCAGGCGCTACGGTTATACTAACCGCACGACACTACAGTCGTGAAGGTAATGTGTTGGGGAGCGCCGTACTTTTTGATTTTTTTGATGGTAATTAGTTACCATCCGTTATATTGTTAACTAAACTATGGTATAGTTTTTGCATAACAGTAAAAGTGATTAGAGATTGTGAGGTGATTTTCTTTTTAATTAACCCAAAAAATATACATGAGTTATCAATTGTTTAGTCATTTGGCTGTAGTTTATTTTATTTTATTTTTTTTAACAGTAAGTCAACATAGGTTTTAGTCTGGTGGTATAAAACAGCCTCTGGTATCAAGGGATAATTTGGACTTGTCCATTAGACGTTTAGTTAGTCGGTAGCGCCAATGTATGAGGATTCCAAATCAGTCTCTTGCCTAAATAAAGCTCAAGATAAAAGAAAAAAATTTCTTAAATTCTTGGAATCAATAAGGTACGCTAGAACTTGTAGAAGTCGTAATTTGAATGCACTTATTTAATTTTACATCTAACAAACCCATTTAAAATAAATAAAAAATACTACACAAATTAATATTTCTGTTAATTTGCGATTCCTGACTATTTACTCAGTCTGTGTATTATTCATATTTTGTCATCAATCAATAATGTTGTTAACTGAATCTCTTTATTGTTTAAATCCTTATTAGTATAGACATAATTTTCAATATTGACGCTAATATCTCACCAACCTAAATATTTTCGAGACTAGTGATACTTTCAAACTATAGTTATCAAAAGAATCAATCAGTGAATAAAGAATGTTTTTATTATAATTATTACATTTAATGTCAAGGGAACGAAGCGTTTTGAAGGAAGGATACAAAATTCCAATCCGATCCTGTCTGAGAATGCCGAGATGTGTATGACCAAAGAAAGGAAGGGTGGTTTAGGCTTGATTAACTGCCGTTAGGTAGTTGGCAATCGGCTGGTAAGGGGGACCGGTATTAGCATGTTTTAATCACGTAAGACAGGTATTAGAGCTTTGTGGGCGCTTTCGAACTAACTTAGGTCTTAGAATATCCACTAAACTGAAACCAAAACAGATCCCTTTGTACTAACTACTCTTTTCATTAGGAGTATCATCAAAGGTTTTTATACGTTCGCTTTTTTATTGTGTTATCTCTAACTTAGAGACATCAAGACATATCTGTTTTGATTGAGTGATTTCACAGAAGAATTTATTTTCAAGAATTTATTTTTTTTAAAGAAAAAATTCAATTTTCTTTAAGCTTTATGAACCAATTTTATTTACCAATTTATTTAGTTTTGAGCGTTATATTACCCCAAGTCGTACATATTGCACATTTTACAGGCACATTTTTTATAAAAGTAATCTTGTGTAAAACGTTACCTCACAATATTTTACTTTTATCTAGCCGTTTAACTACATTATTTAAATGAAATGTATAAATGAAATGTTAAATGTCATAAAAAAATTACTCACCTGATGAGGCCCGTAGACAGATCGACAGTAGACAAAATATGAGTGACAAGGCCAGTGTTGGGGCGTGCCGGGTTCCACGAGCCATACTGTGTCCTGCAAGTGAAAAACAATTGCTAAAACTAAAATTTTTTAAAATTCAATTATTATCAGTTTTTAAATAAATTTTTACGATTTTAAAATTCAACAAATGCTGAACAGTGGTGTTTATTTTAAGGAATTTTATGACTTACTTACAATTATTTATCCAATTTTGTACACATTAGATTTTTATAAGGTTGCTAATATACGAAGACAATAAGTAAAAATGTAGATAAGAAAAACATCTAAACATTCATTACCTGTTAAAAACCTATCAGAGATGAAAACAGTTAGAAAGAATACACTCCCTTTGTCGAGCTTTATAAGAATTTATTTATTAAGAATAATCATCAAGACTTTACAACGCTAATTAATTAATTCAAAGTTGAAAAATGTAATTATTGAGACCATACAGTATCAAGACCATACATTCAAAATGTATATCCAATTATCTATTATATTAAAATATTGTGTGGTATAATCAAATAAAATATTAACCAGATGAATTTCCTTTGAAAAGAAAAATGATATATCAATGCACCCTTACGCATTCCCAAATTTAAATAGAAAATAATTTACACTCTATTTTTTGTGCTGTAAAAATGATGTTTTTTCCAATAATATTCAACGTAAAAGTAAGTTAATGAGTATATTAAATATGATTTTCCATTGCTTGCACAAGCATTTAGGGTGATAACGTTGTTTACACGCATGTGTATAGATGAAACAAAGCAATAATAAAAAAATAAGAAATAAATTTTGAAAAAGACTGACATAATAAAAGAAATACATACCTACATATTATAGAAAAGAGAAAAAGATTGGCAAAGAAAAAGATGCCGAAGGAACAAAAATCTTTTTCCTACAGCGTATTATCGACTAAAATTTTCGACTAAACCCAATTTTCAAAAAGAAAAGTAAAAATGATTGGAAAAATGTATCCTACCTGCGATTAAACGTTTAAAAATAATGATCAGTCCAGATTGTCTATGCGGCATTGGTTTCAAATATGGATGAATTATCTATTTGTATGTACCACCTTTGAAAACGATAAGCTGTTTGTATTAGAAGACAAATTATCGATGAAATTGTTAGATAGCCTATATCACAAGGCGTCTGAACCTCAAAAGACTAACGAGTATTTTTAAAGATTGTTGATTCAATAGATATTGATAAACTGTAATAATTAAAAGTTTAAAAACTGTGATAACCAGTTTGAAAAACTATTCAAGTTGAATTTTTAACACGTACCATCAATAGGGGCCCTATGAGGAAACACCCCCCACCCACTCACTCACACACTTAGGTGCATAAAACTATTACGCAAACAATCAATTATTTCAATCATACACTGGTCACACTCACCTATAAAGGTGGCTTTTCTCAATATTTTAACATTTGTAATATGAAAAAGTGAAATTCAGATTATCAAATTTTTTAGAGATGGTAAAAATTGAGAAATGAGGAGGTTTTGCATTCGTGGGCTTCTCATATAATATAAAGTCCATATCTCCCTATCCATCTTCTCGATAACCTTGATTGTGCCAGTTCGTTAAATCTCGTCCACTGTGCACTGGACGCCGGTCCATCTGCCACTATAGTTCTTCGAGTGGCATTGCTTCGAGGAGGGCCGTACGTATATCATTCTGAAGAAGATCGTAAAAAGCAGAATTTAATCGAACAGGTAAGAAAACGAGCGTTGTCATAAATTAACGCTGATTTCAAAAATGTTGTATCATAAGTTGAAAACAAATGCGTAAAAGTAGAGCAAAAAAGTTTTTATTACAAATAAACGTGGTTTTCTCGAGAAAAACTTTAAAACATTTTGGTTGAAATAGAAATGTGTGGTTGGCGGAATTTAGCTATACATTTGGTCTAGTTTCACCGCATTGAATATCGTTATCTACTTGCAATACACCATGTACATATATCATGTATTGTTGAAAGTTAAAATTTGTTAACAAGAAATTAGAACGAAAAAAAATTGGGCAAATTTGTATCATTTGTGTTCTCGAGAGTTCTGAAAATTACATTGACGTGATTGACGTATCAAAATCTATTTTACAAAATTCAATTTCATCATGAGAGGCCCATTTGCCGCGTCAAAGACAAATCGACAAGCTTAATAACATCTCGGGGCATAAGGGAAAGAAAGAAAAATCGACACTTTTCAATATTACCACCCCGTCTCTGAGATGATAAATCCCCAAATACAAATTATTACTTAATCAACCGGTGTAGTAATGGGAGTTGTACTACCTCCCGGAAATGAAAAGTGGCTAATAGCGAAAATAGTTTCGTCGCTATCCGCAAGAGCACTGGAGTATGGCGGTTCCAGTGGAATTGGGGGTAACTACGGTATTTGCCCTCATCCCCATTTCACCTTACCAAATAAACAATAAAGGGGTGAGCCGATGGCCAAAACTTGTTAAGATTAAAACGATTAACAAATCACTTATTTACAGAATAAGATAGACGATGTATTACATATTAATATAAAAAAATAAACTACAGAGGCAAATACCTTAATATTGAGTCACATGTAATTATTGCTCAGCTAAACTCATAAACATGTATAATATTGACTTTTTTAGTAAAAAAAAGGCGTTGGTTGTTATTTTGAACTCATAATAAAATTTACTATTAAAAAATTAATAGAATTTTTTAAAATACAAAACAAAAATTAATGTTAACTACTTTCAAAAATTTATATTATACTTCAACCGGATAGATTTTTATAATTAAGTTAGGAATGGAAAAATGTGTCTATATTGTACGGTAGAGAGTGGATAAATTTTTGAAAGCTGCACCGACGAAATATCTTATTCAACTAAGAATACGCGGTGGGGGGTGAGATAAGCCTCCCTAACAGCAACTCGCTCTTTATTATTATACAGAGTGGCTGATAAAACCTTAATTTACCACGATAACAGATAATGTAGTGTGTCTTTTACCACTTTCTATCTATACTATCGAAATCCGCCTTCACCCAAACGGATAACTTACATGTAACCAGTTTGTTTTACGACGAAATATACCTCCACGGTTTTCGTGTTGTAAAAGTTTCCAATGTTATTTTGCGTTTTGGATGAAAAAGACGATAGCGGCGAGAGTGAAGAATTTATAAGGGGCTGAAATCAATCTAATTTTCGGTGGTAATTTATTTCGAACTTTTCCCAGGCGTTAACGTTGAAGAGTTTCCGGGATTTTCCTTTTGTGAGTAGTTACGTCGATTAAATTAACTGTATCCTGTATTAAAGTTAGGTTTTCAAGACATTAACGTAGAGATGACTTTTAGAGCAAAGTTTATAAATTAACTTTTCAAGGCAATGATACTTTTTTACAGAACTTAAACTTTATTAAATTGTAATGCGCAATTATCTAGAGGTGAAAAAATGAGACACTCTCTTATCTTACAAACTGAATTATGAAAGAAAGAAAAAATTAAAATTTTAACCTGATAAATGCTCTAGGTTGAATATTTACAGAAAAAACTAGATATAATTAATCTTAAGATTGTCATAAATATGTTATGTAAAAAATGAAATATTTTTAATTTTATTAGTAGGTGTGTAGGTGTGGGAGAGAGAGAAAGAAAGAGCTTGAGAGATAGTACGAAAAGAATGGTTAGTAAATAAAGCAGAAATATGAGGTCAATTGATTGATTGAACGATTTTTGTGTTGATCACGCAAGATTTAGGCTGACATCTAACGCCAATTACATATTTACAATAAATAAAGTTAACACCGCGTTTGTCACATATTTTCAAATATTTAACCTTTAACTTGAACTTAACTACAAAACGAATAAAATAAATTTGTTCATCTACAATACAATATATGAAATAGGAGAAAATTAATGCAGTAAAAAAGTAATACATAATCAGCATTCAAAAATTGGATTTGTTTATCTATTTTAGTTAAACTTTGTACGATTAAACATCTTGAGAGAGAACAAGATACTGTTGTATCAAACGAGTCATACACAACTAAACGGTAGATAGTAATAATGTGCGGTTAATATGTGATAAATGATGGATAAGGATCGAAGGAAAACGTGTGTGTGAGTCTGTCTTTATGTATATGCGCGCGCGTGGTGAGAAAAAATAAAAATTAAAAAGAACGAGGTAAAAAAAAGTGAGAGAGAGAGTTAAAAGGAGAGTTTTTAATTTTATTTGAAATGCTTTATTTAAAACTCACAGATATATTATTATATATATAATATTATACTCATTTAGAGATGTATATGAGAGAGAGAGAGAGAGAGAGAGAGAGAGAGAGAGAGAGATAGAGAGATAGAGAGAGAAAGAAACGGAAAAAGAGAGAAATAGCGAGTGAGATAAATTGCTCGAAAAAGAAAGAAAGTAAAAATGGGAGCAAAAAAAGGTGTATTACAGAAAGACTTTCTAATCTAAATAGAACGAAAGGAAGGGCGTTACATATTGAAATAGATAGAGATTGAAACAAAAGGTGTGTGTGTGTGTGTGTGTGTGTGTGTGTGTGTGTGTGTGTGTGTGTGTGTGTGTGTGTGTGTGTGTGTGTGTGTGTGTGTGTGCGGGAGCGCGCGCGTGCGTTCGTTAGAAAGGGTGGTAGAGAAGGAATGAGTTAGTAAGAGAAACTCCATGAGAAAGAAAAAAGCGAAAAGACAAAAAGAGATCTAGTAATAAATACATAGATAGACATAATTATGTAAAAAGGAAGAAAGAAAGATAGAAAATAAACAGCCAGACAGAGATTGAAGGAAAAAGTATGCGTGCAAGAAAGAAAGAGAGAGAGTGAGAAAGAGAGATAGTTTGAGTGCGAGAGGGAGGGAGAGAAAGAGAGAGAAAAAATCGAACGAGAAAAATTGCTTGAAAAAGAAAGAAAGCATAAAGAGAAAAAATTTGTAGAATAAATATGCATTCAAATCTAAATAGAACGAAATAAAGAGCGTTAAATAAAGAAATAGAAACTGAAAGAAAAAATGATAGAGAGAAGGAGAGCGAAACTGAATGAGTGAGAGAAGAAATGAAGCA